TAAGTCACATATTGCCATGTTTCTCTCTTAAGACTTATCATTGACATCCCACAGCTGTRTTTGGGTTCATTTATTGTCAATATATTGCCACCTACTGGATAAGTGACACATATGAACAAAATGTTTGACAGTTTTCACCCTCAGCTGTTAATAATAGCATTAATCAATAACATTTATAGACCTCAATTAGTGCTTCTAAATTTAGCCTATAAATTTAGCAAGTGCTAATCCATTTATAAATTTTAAAATTGACAAAAGCCCTAAAGCACTAATCAGGAAATTAGTGCCCCTATTAGTGCTTTAGGGGAACTGTGCCCACCGCTGGTGCTTAAGGTCCAAGATTGGGCACCACTGGACTAATTGGTTAAAATTAAGAAGGTGCACATATTTTTAAAATAAAACACTGCAAAAAGTGTCCATCTAACCAAGTCTCACACTCTTATATCCAAAGTGATGCGTGTTTTGTGACTGAAATACTAAGCAAGAATGGCTACTTTGATCGCATACGTCAATRTATAACAACACACCTTTCAACTTTGTTTAAACGTGTGGCAAAAGTGTGTTAAGGCACTGATCTTGGGAACAACAACAGCGACAAAGATAACATTTCTATAGAATGTGTTAAAAGCTCATGAATCATTGGTATTCTACAACGGAAGATGTCTAGTCTTGTGCATAGGATGTTTGTTGTCATCTGTTTCTCAAGCCATTGGTTTTGAAACAATATTTCTTAAAGTCGTTGAGATCCTTTTGCTGGCCGTCCAAATGCTTCTAATGTTTTAAATGCAATCCAAGTTGATCCGTAACAAAGCAAAATATTGTTTTTCTGTTCAGTGGTTTTGCTTTTACAGTACATCCTGCATCCACCTTGTTAGTCGTAGCGTTATGCCTTCAGTGCATCACACTCACAATGCTGGCTCTTCCTTACACACGTACTATTACAGCTCCGTGACTTGCTTTGTCACCTGTTTATAAGTGTGTCAACTTTTTTCTATCCTTCCTGCTGCTTGCTATGATTTTGTCAAAGACAGCTGAATGACATTCAAGTCAGAAACATTTTATCACARTTTCAGCATGTGTGCAGAAAAACAATCTCAGTTTTATTCCATCATCTTATTTTTTCATTTACTGTGATAGGCTTGCAACTTGTCCCGGGTGTACCTCACCCCTCGCACAGTGACTGGTGGATATGGGCACMAGTAACCCCTGTGACACTGAAAGGAAGAAGAGGGTATAGAAAATGGATGGATGGATTTTCTTTTCTTTTTTTAATTTAAAGTCAAACATGCTGATGGCAGTAGGTTTACTTAACATTTGTCTGTGATAAAGACTGGAAGACTTGTCAGGAAAGTTGATCTAGATGCTGCAAAATAAACTGCAGTTTTTAGAGTAAAGCTTTTCCAGAGCAACTATATTTTCAGCCTGCACTGAGGTATAGCATTTCAGAGTTACAACTCTGTGAATAACAAGAACACACGAGCTTGGGCTTAGTGTCTTCAGGTCTCCGAGAACGTGCAGAGGGGACCAAATCAGAAACTTGACCTGAACCCAGAAGAGCATCTCTGCAGAGAGCTTAAAATGACTGATTTGATCTGTTTGAGCGTTAGTGCTTCTGCCAAAGAGATTGAGAAAGACTTCCAGGAAACATGCGGGCCAAAAGTGTGGGAGATTTTCCAAGAAGACTTAAGGCTGTCATTGCTGAACCTATTCTTCACTCAAATGCAACAAAAAAAAAAAAAATCTGTTTTTGCATTATGATTGTGGAGTATTGTGTTTAAAAGGTTAGGCAGAAATGATGCACACCTTTACACGTTTCCACTTTGCCAAACTGAACTGAAATCATGTCAGTTCTCCAACATCTTAACTTAGCCTAAAGAAAAAAGTTAGCTTTTGTGATGCTGCGTATGTGCAATCATTATTAGTTACACCTGTGTCTGTTGCAGTCATTCTGCTGTGGTCAGTGTGTGGTGTCTACATTAACTTTACCCTCTGTGGATGCTATGAAAGCCAARAGAGGACACGCTTAGAAATGTTTTTTTTTCTGAATGTTGTCTCAGGAAAATCATTTTTTATCTCATTTTAAATAACAAAGCATGTTTTTTCAAGATTAGAGTTTAAAATGTTCAGTCATTGCAACATAGAAAAGTGTCTTTTTTGTTGCTTTGATAAATAGAAGTTACTTCACACACATATATATGTATCAGAAAATGTTCTCCATCAAAATCATGAAAATCATGTTGAACCAAACTAAAAACGGTACAAGAGGCGTTCATCRCTGATCAACTCATTGCTGTTCTGGATCATGTCCAAGTCAAGACAGCAGATCTGTGTGATGAAACTGGATGTAACACAAGAACCAGTTAGCACCATAACCTTCATGTTATCTTAAAAAAAACAAAGCCTGTTCTCGTTGAATAATATCTCATTATCTTGAGAAAACAAAACGTTGTTTTCTCTCGATGATGAGATAAAATTTAGCCCGGTTTTCTCAAGATAACAGAAAAGTCAACTTGTGATTTTCGGCCTGTCACATCAAAATGAATTGTAGTGAGGACGGCTGTTCCCAGCTTCTGTGGTGGTGCTCCCAGCGCCAAAAGAACATAAACATGGACAAGTTTTCAGGAATTTGTCAGTTCCTACTTCTTGTGTCGCTCGCTTGTGGATGCGCCTTTGTGTCAGTTTCATCTGTCTCCTCTATTAGATTAGTGCGCATTATCCCTGCTGTTTTCTGTCTCAACCAAAGAAACAAGAGATGGAATTAAAATACTCTGGGAAAATTGAAGCTCTCGGCTCACTATGACAGATTATTTGGATTTCTGCTTCTGATTTCCTCCGTGAATTGTTGCGCTGTCTTTGATAGGAAACGCAAAACTACTTTGAACTCTGAAAATTGTCTGCTGCTGGAATTTAAAACAAACGGCTGCCTTTAGAAACAAATTTCTCACCACCACAAATGACGACAGACAACTGGATGTAAGACATGCATATTAGCACTTCAAATTAAACCCATTTCTCCTGAACTAATGTGAYCCATTTGGTTTCCCGAACCGCTTTTGCGGCTCTTCTGTTTGGTAAGTAATGCAGAAGAAAACACTGGTGCTTTGTGAGTTTTATAAGAGAAAGCGGCAGTGTTTGTACGAGAAGGGGGCAGAGCGCTTATGGGAGGGCATTCAACTTAACTTTTTTTTTTTGTGTGTGTGCCGTAGGCTGTAACAGTCCAAGACTGATTAGCATGAATGCACCTCTGGAAACACGTCAAAAAAAAAAAAAAAAAAGCCCACAGATCTACCCTGAGGCTGCTTTTCTCCTCCCCCTGTGTCTGTTCCATACATACATAACTTTAATCAATGTTATGTGGCCCCCTCATTACTCTGGTCTTCCGGCCGTGAGTATCTGAGAGCGCTGGTGAGTGATGTTGCGTGTGTTGGGCTAATATGACTATAAAAGGTTGGGACCGCAGAGCTTTTACACTAATCCGAGTGCAGACTCGTTTTTATTAGCCAAGCCTGTCTGTCTTTAACTCTCTGTGTGCGTCTGAGTGTGGATGGTACACAAAAATAAAGGCAAAAGAAAGAGACCAAAATAAAACTAAAGTCACATTACACTCGCTGAGCCTTGACTGTCGCTGTGATTTAAAAAAAAAAAGGTTTTATTGGTGCACGAAGTTTAAAGGCTATACTTAAAGTGATGTACTATCAGTAAGTAAGAGCCACTTCATAGGCTGAATTACCACAAAAGTGGTCTGTGTGTGTGTGTGTGTGTGTGTTCAGCAAAGTGGCGTGTGTGGCCCTTTTGTCACGGTGTTAAAAGAAACAAATGACCTCACTCCTGCGTGGACACATGTAGACTCGCTTTGTGACCAAGAATGGTCAGAACTGAAGTCGTACATTCTCTCATAACATAAACTCTGCTTTAGACATGGTTTTACAAAGACAAACAGAAAAATGAAGTTATTTAGATTTTTAATGACTTACGTCATACTGTTGTTTTGGAAATTTAATTTGTGTAAAGATGTTTTCAAGTTCAGTTGGGGAAAAACTGTTTTGGTTTCAAGAGAGGAAAAAAACGGACATACCTTTTTTTTGTAAACTTGTCACTTTGTTCTGTTAGCCTGCTGATAAAAGGAACACTAACTTTACAACATGTCTCATGCTTCTGATGACGAGTTCAACAAAACATCTCAAACACTTAAAACACAGGTATAAATGAGTAGTATGTAAGTAATTCCAATAAACTGACAATTCTAATTTACAACAAACATTTATTTAAAAGGGTAATTTTGACTTTTTCAAAGTTTAGTCTTGTGAATTTGTTGCCAACAATCAGTGTCTTACCTGCAGTAGATAGTGAACATCATCAAAATTTTCTCAGTTTGAAGAATTAAAAAAAATTGAACAAAAGTCAAGCTAATTAGTCTGAATGGGGTGATCAATGCTAATATTTCTAATGAACTTGTTTTTGGAAACACATATCAAAGAACAAAACAGGAAGAAAATAAAAGTTTGACTTTATGAAGCTTGTAAACAGAACAGCCTTTGGTGTTTCCTCAGATCCTGTAAAGCTGGTCTGTGTTTTACTCAGTACCGATAATTTCTTCTTCTCCATCTTTATGGTAAATTAACAGCACAGTGTCATGAATATTTTTGTCACACAAGCAGACATAAACACAGATGATGTTGTGATTCAATATCCTGCATTGTCAACTTGTAGGCCCCATCTACTACATAATCCACAAACAGAAACATTTATCACAAATCTAGTTTTCAGTCAGTTACAAAGTTTAATATAAGTGCAAAGTATTAGAACAGTTTTAAATGAATGAGCAACCCATGCAATCTTGAACAAGCTTCCTCCAAATTTTTGTGCAACAGAAAGGATCTGTGAACTTTTGAGAAAACACAGTGTGTGCTTCCCACATCACTTACAGCCCACTGTGCTGCTCATTAATTCTGGCTGTAAATGATGCAGTTAATTAAAGATGATTTTTTTTGTTTCTCCAGCTGACAGATGGTGGGAAAGCAGCTAAAGGTGGGATTGCTGTGGGAGACATGGTTCTCTCCATTGATGGCATTTCAACAGAGGGCATGAACCACCTGGAGGCTCAGAACAAAATCAAGAACTGTGCCGGCAACCTCAGCCTCACTCTGCAGAAGTAAGACACAAACTCACACTTAGAGTTACCTCTTTTTTTTTTTAACTGAAAGCAAGGAGTGTCATTTTACAACAAATATATGAGCAGTTTGAGACTGTAATGGTGGCAACAGGATCTACACTTCTTTTTAAAAAAGCACGTGACCCATTTCTGCAGGATATTTTCCCTTCCCGACATCCTCTACTCAGGCAGATGTTCGTTGTTGCTGCAGGAGTTAAATGTTGACACATTGACAACATTAGTTCTGCCTGACGTTTTGTTCCCTGATGGAAGGAAGAACAACTGAAATGATAACAGGAGCATCAGACATGTGGCTACACACCTCCTCCCTGAGGCATTCACTTCACCTTTTTTTTGGTGGAATCTTGTACAGTACAGCTGATTTATTTTAAGGGTTTCTAGTTGGTTCTCATGTGGTTTGAATTGTCTGGATCTTTGGCAGCAACAGCAGACCTGTGTGTTTTTACTTAAAGACTGTGAGACGGTCAAGGCTCTGACACTTGTGCTTTTGGATGAAAGGTAAAAAAAAACGAGTTAAACACTTCAAGGAGTTAATTGAGAGGATATTTTACCTGATATAGACTAAATTAACAAGTGTTCTTTGTTGTGTTTTTGTCACTTTGCCTCATTTTAGCCCAACTGAGCTCAATTTATAAACTGTAAATGATGACGACCTAAAAATGTTCAGTTTTGGCAAAGAGACTGAAAACACATATATTTATTAAATATCACATGACTCTTTGTAAGTCAGTGTGTGAATTACTGTTGGTCAAAGACATCTATCATCTAGATTTTTTTCTTCATGATGAAGGAAACAAAAGTTGGATATATTGCCTGGCCAAGGACACCAATGAGAAAAGCAACTTGTCAAAATTGAGGCTCTTTTTCAAACAAATGACCAAGTTTTTAAAATCTGGATATGTTTTTAAACAGCAGTGAAAAATAAAGGAAATMAATGTAGCCTCGGCAATTCCAAGAATTCAGAATCCAGTGTAGACCTACTTTATAAACTTGATACACCACTGAAAACTCAGACCTGCTCAGTGGCACTTCAGCAGAGGACACACAGAATGTGACCCATCACACTGAACAAAAGATTAAGTCACAAAGTGGTTTGTGGAGAGATAAGCAGCTATAGTGCATTAGTTAAAATGTTTGCTCCATTCGCATTTTGTCAAAATAGAATGAATGAATACCTTATCTATTTAAAGGAAACAATCTTAATGAGTTTTTAAGCCTTTTTGAGAAGTAGCTACAAAAACATGGTTTTCAGCAGAAATTTTTTTTTGTCAATTTCCCTGAGAGCTAGTGAAGGTTTTTTTCTTTCAAGCTGGAAAATCTTAATATCTAAATACTCTCTGACATTTCCACAATTACAATTTTATTCATATTAATAATTTTTTTAAATAAGCTTTTTTTAGACAATCTTGGGATTACCTGGCGTAAGGTGCAGTTTTGTTTCTTAGCTAAAATGAATACAAATGTGCTGCATTTTTAAAGTAATATTCAAATAAACCATTTGTATGTGTTTAACCCAAAAGCTGGCATTTTGTATTAAACAGGCCTCTGATCTTGTGACATCTAATAATTTTTTACCAGTTTAGTTTTAGACCACAAGAATGCATTTTTAAAACAAAACAGGATTTTATAGATCAGAAAGCTGATGTTAAATCATATCAACTCTCTGAGCTTTCTCTTTTCCTTTTTTATGGTTTAAAATCAACTAAGTTTACAGAACAATTAAGGGAAAAAAACGTGGTTGCATGCTTAGTTTTCTGTGTGGCATTTTCTGGCACTTTGATAAACTTTTTGTATATTCACAGTGCTAAGTTGAGGTCAACATCTGGACTGTAATGGTTTTACACAGTGGAACAAGCCGATCTGTTCACTCATCTATGTTAGTTTTTTATAGTTATCTCTCTGTTCTGTTCTTTTTTTCTTCTTACCTGCACGTTTTGGTTGGGAATGGTACTGTTTTACATAGCATTAGGAATGAAAACAGAAAACAGACTAAATGTAACAGTTGGTGTGGTGATATAAAGGAAACAAGAAAAGAAAGGAATTAGAAGTAAAATCGTATCTACAGGAAATGTTTGAACTATAAATAAATCCACTATAAATAAAGTTTGCCCTGGCCGTTTAGGAACAATGAACTATCTTGGCACTCAATCTCCTCCAAGTCAAAAGCTGGAAAAAATGTGAATTAACTCTAAATGCATGATTGCAAATACCAGAGCTGCCAAGGTAACCATCACATACCAAACTTTATTTAGCTCTTTGGGAAGCTTTTTAAGTTCACTGAAGCGCATGATGTCAGAAGATCATAATAAAAAGGCATTTTTTTAAAAGGAAAATAACATTGACAACATTTTGAAAAAAGTACAAACAAAAATGTACAATGCTGCGATGAACAGTTGGTGAGATCTGCAACAGGAAGGATGACAAATGGGAAAACCTGCATGTCATCAGAGCATCAATTCAACGGCTAACAACAAAGACAGTAGCGAAGAATCAGGGGTTTCTTTTGGTCATTTTGAGTCACCATGAGAGAGACAACAAAGAGTCAGAGTGTAAAATATTTCTTCAAGAACTTCTCCCCAAAAAAGCAACAGGTGCCACCTGAGCACATCTATTGGCCAAACAAATGATGCAGACAAATAATCAAACATGAAGAACTGATAATGAAACTCAAGAAAACCAAACCAGTTAAACAAACTGTGGTATTTTAGAATTCATCAAAGATCAACTCAATGAATCAATTAGAATAAAAAGAGAAGCTTGAGACTAAGTAAATCTTAGTTTTTTGTTTTACCAAACACTTCAACCTTGCTTAAATTTATGAATGTGCTTTACATTATTTTGACAAAACTCTTTATTTTGGTTGGAGATCTTTGACAGTTTCTGTCAAACTGAGACTCTTGTTGCTGCAGCTCTTGCCCAAAAAAAAACAAGAAAGAAAGAAAGTTGAAAGCAGCCGACAAAAGCAATGGCAGAGAGATGAAAGAGAGAAAGAAATTTAAACAGTAATGAAGATGAAGTCGACCCATTTTGGATCAGCTCAGTTCACATCTGTAAACTATAGATCACAATAATCGACAGCAGCGAGCGAGAAGCTTAACACATAAATACTCTTTGTTTTGATTCAGTTTACACCGTAAAGTTTTACTGCTAGCAAATGTGTTTTAGTTTCTGGGAACTTCTTTTTCTTTTTTTAATGAATTGTCGATTTGAATTCTGTTTGAACAGACCAAAAAAATCTGCCAGCATGTTGTTTGTTAAACAGTTTGTTTACTTTTCACAGACCAAGAAGTCTGGGAGACACATGTGGAGCACACGTGTCCATAAAATACATACAGCTTTATCACACAAACACACAGAGCGGTTTGTGAAGGGCTTCAGCAACAGTTAATAAGACTCTTTTATTTACAAATAAATATTTAGTCTGAACTGTAGTTAAAAGTAAAAACAAAACAAATCCATCACAGCTGTTTATACGCTGAGATAACATCTTTTTATTCTTTATCATCTTTGATCCTTAGTCAAAACAATATAACATTCATAAGAAAATAAACCGACACATTATTATTATTTTTAATGAAACCTATAGAATATAGTTTAACTTTAAACATGTCAGGAGAACATTTCCTCCTTTTTGATGACCTTCTCCTGGAGTAGTTTCATTGTTGCGTAATCACAAAGTTTCAACACTTTAATTATCCTAGTTAGCAATTTATTATCCTATTTAGATTCTAATGCATGTTCAAGTATTCAGTTTAACCAATTATTCAGGTTTGCAACAAAATGGCCTTTGTATTTTACTGTTTTCTTTTTGTTTTTGCTTCAACTACTTTCATCTGGCTAAATGCTTTATTCCCTACTGAAGTCATTTAGAAGCCCAGGAGTATTTAGTTGGTACGTGTGAAAGTGTGTGTTTTGAGCACAGTCCTAAAAATCCACAGTTTGATGGTGTTAAAAAGTACAAACTGAATTACACTATACATGATGTGCTGAGCAAGTATGCGATCCCTTTGTTTTTATCATTTTGGAGATTTCAGACTGTTGCAAGAACTTCTCTGTTGTTGAGTCACTGAAAGTATAAAAGTTGGATCCGTGCAATAAGTCTTGAGGTAGAATCTCGCTGGGCTGCAACTTTTGGGCACTTGTTGGTGATAAAAACATGTAAGACTAGAAGCACTCGGAGAGTGCAAACCTCCACCAAGACCAATGTCCCCCATCCTGTAAGAGTTAATGTGCAAAAGCAGAGATGGAAACACATTTGCTGAATAAGTTCTGACTTAGTGAACATTTAAGCAGGCAGTATGCACAGAATTTCTTCTTGGTGGAGTCCAATGTGGAATAAAAAACAAAAGTCAGACTCATCATCCGACATTATTCAACGTCAAACTAGTGTCAGATTAAGCTCCTAAGTTTTCATCAGTCACATTTCACCATGTAAAATGTCTGTTTTATCCCCTTGAATGAGTTTGTAATGGTTTGACTCTCTTTATAAAGTGCTTCCTGGCTCCCCCCGTCTCCAAACTTTGAGACCTGGCAGCTCTCTTGCGAGAAACTGTTTTGATTGGTTGTTTCGGAAATGTGGTGTGTTTGAGGAAATGGGAAAAATAGGTTTCATGGTGCAGTCACGCACTTCCTGGTCACAAAACCTTCTGTAAATGCGCATATTATGGCAAAAATTATTCATCATTAAATGTGTTTTAACATTACTTTTATAAAGTTTGAAGTCCGTGCTGTCCAATCCAGCCCACTGTTTTTACAGAAGCCCTGTGAAAGCATCACAGCTTTGCCGATCACAGAGTGTTAAAAGAAAATAATAAATCCTGTATCCGCATCGTGATCCGGAACATCACCAAAATTTAAAAGTTTGTTCCTTGGCCTAGTACCCACATGTGGTAAAAATGTAATGACAATCCGTCCACAAGTTTTTGAGTAATGTTGTCCACAAACAGAATGGCGGGCAGACAGACAGACATATGTGGCCG